ACTTAGAGAGACAGGAGTGGGGAATGTGAAGAAGGGATACTGTAGGGATCCTTAGGATTAAAAACTTTTTAAAAATAGTCTTTTTCTCCTGTACAGCAAAAGAATCATCAACCTGGGGCCTGTGCATCCAGGACCACTGAGTCCAGAACCACAGCCTGTGGGTGTCAGGGTCATTTGTGGACATTGCAAGAATACTTTTCTGGTAAGATGAGGTATTGGGAAGCCCTGGGTGTGGGGCTGAGAGGAGGAATCATGAATATATTTCTGAGTTGTGATAATGAATCTTGAAAAGGTCTGTTCTCTGAGGACCCATCTCCCACCCTCCCCTCCCCAGGGCTCTCATTGAAATGAGCCTGCTTCTTGTATTAATTGGTTTCTCCCTCCTTTTTTCTCCGTAGTGGACAGAGTTCACAGACCGAACCTTGGCCCGCTGCCCTCACTGCAGGAAAGTGTGAGTGATTAGAGAGTGGCATCGTTGAGCTGCTAATTGGGTAATATGGAGTCAAAGCTACAGGGCCATTGCAAGCATCCACTTCTGTTTGCCTCCCCACAGGTCATCCATTGGGCGCAGATACCCACGAAAGAGATGTATCTGCTGCTTCTTGCTTGGCTTACTCTTGGCAGTCACTGCCACTGGCCTTGCTGTGAGTAACCTTGACCCAATCCCTTTCATTCTGCAGCCTCATCTCCACAGGCTAAGACTGGGGAAATGGCTGCCCTTAAAAGAAATGAAAGAAACTGAGGGGTATTTGATTGATTTGTCTTGTTTTAATGTGTAGATGAGCTGAAGCTGAAGGAAACTGATAAAACAGTCTTCATGGTTACTATCGCAGTAAAAAACAGTTATCTTCCTTATGGAGAAGTGGCTTAGATTGAGTTGTTATTAGGGATCCTGGCTCAGTTGTCAGACATGAAGAAAAACTGACAGATGTCTGGGAGTGTTCCTGCCTCAGGGAAGGGGGCTGAACAACTGGGCCATTTAAAAGGTCCCCGAAGGTGGCTACACGTGGATAGGGGACAGAAACTGAAGCTTGAGTCCTGTGTTACTGTCACTAGGGCTCCTGGAAAGTGGTGAGAGATCAACAGTAACCCCATCTTTCTTTCTCGTCTTTGTCAGTTTGGCACATGGAAGCATGCGCGGCGATACGGAGGCATCTATGCAGCCTGGGCGTTTGTCATCCTGTTGGCTGTGCTGTGTTTGGGCCGGGCCCTCTATTGGGCCTGTATGAAGGTCAGCCACCCCGTCCAGAACTTCTCCTGAGCCCCACGAAGACCCACAGACTGTGCCTGGCCCCTCCCTGGTGGGGACAGTGACACTATCAAGGGAGCGGTCATAAAAGGCTCCCTGGGCTTCTATTAAGGGGAGCCAAGCAGCTGCCTGCCTTTTCGCTGGGGAGAGGTAGGAAGGAACCAGGCCCTCACCTAGGTTTGGAGGGTAGGTAAGACCACTGCTGGCCATCTGCTTTCCTCCAAGGGTTGCTGTGTTTAGGGTGAAGTAGGCGAGACGTTGCCCCTAAACCTGGGTCCTAAAAGACAAGGTTCGAGCCTTGTCCTTCCTATGTGCTCCCCGAGAGCCATTCCTGTCCCTTACACATTCCAGGGCAGGGTGGGGGTGGGTAGCCCTGGGGGTCTCCCTCCCTCCCTCTTGTGCACCGTTAGGACCTTGCTGCTGCTATTGCACTTCACCAGGGGCTGGCTCTGGTCTCAGCACCCAGTCTCCTCTCCCCCCATTCCGTGTCCTGTGGGGGTGGGGTCAGCTGCTGCTCTGTACAGAACCACAGGAACTGGTGTGTATATAACTATTTAATGTGGGGTACGTTCCCCTAGTCCTTTCTTTCCCACAATTCCTCCTTTCAACTTTACCCCCCAGTCGCAGTATTTTACTTGCCTGGGTAGGGTTGCTGTCATGGGGGAGGTTAGGGACTCATCCTGTGCTTGTAAATAAATAAGGTCATGACTACCCTTTTCCAGTTGTTCATCTGTATGTGTGACAAGATGAGGGGACTCTAGCCCCACAAAGGGGTAGAATATAAAGACAGCAAGGCTGAAACTATGGCTCTTTATTTTCACATGGACAGCTCAAAGGAAGTCATCAGTAGTTTTTGTTTGATGTAAAAAGAGGGAAAAAGAAACCTACACGCACACAAAATCCTTGGGCTAAAAGGAAACCTAAGTCTCTTACTAGAAGCCTGGTTAAAAGATCTGTAGTTTTAGTAGGGAAACACAGTGCAGATTTCTCTAGAGAGCAGTTTCAAAGAAGTTTGGGGGTTAAGAAATGTAAAGCTAGTTTGGTGGGCTTATTTCCCAGGCTCGAAGCAATTTAGGGGAGGTGTCACAGTGCCAGGTAGAGGGTGATGGGACAGTGGTCACTGCCCAGAGCCTTGGAACGGATCTTGCTGTCACACAATGCAGGCAACAAAGAGTGAGACAACAAAAAATAATCAAGGCGCCAACCGACGTTTTTGGATCGCGCATTCATCATGTAGGTCCAAAAGGTGTAGGCGTAGGCTGTATTAGGGTAGAGGTGCCGGAAACTGTCAGCCAGTGGCACAGCCTGCAGCAATTCCCCAAAGCCTTGACGCTCTTGGGGAGTGAAGCCAGCATTCTTTTTGTTCCCCTTTGGATTTCGAAGGTCAATTTCTTCATGAGCCACATTGAGGTCCCCACAAAGCACAAGGGGCTTGCGGGAAGCCAGACCCTTCAGGAATTTGCGAAAGGCTTCATCCCAGCGCTGCCGGTACTCCAGGCGTACCAGGCCTCGGCCTGCATTAGGTACATAGACTGTTACCAGCACAAATGCATCAAATTCAGCCACAATCACTCGGCCTTCTTGATCATGTTCCTCCTCACCTACAGGAATGAAACAGCCAAAAAAAACTTAAGAAAAAGAAAAGCAGAGAATAAAGGAATCAAGAATTGGGACCGGAGTGGGATATCAGCAATTGGTTTGGAAGAGCTTGGGCTTTAGGAATCAACGGGGTCTCACCAATGCCATAGGAGACTTTGATTGGGCACTGGCGGGAGAGTAGGCCCACACCACTGTACCCTTCCTTGTCTGAAGGAGCTGACCAGTACTGATGGGGTAGTCCAGACAGCTCTTGAAGTTCAGGTGGCAGTTTGTTCTCTGAACATTTGGTCTCTTGGAGGCACAGGATATCTGGGGCTTCCTCCTTTACCCACTGTGAAATGAAACGTAGAGAAAGTATCAATTCAGCAGACATTTGTTGAAGAATCTACGTGCCAAGTACTAGAGAGAGACAGGTGAGAGTTTCTGGGCATAAGGGGTTTAAGTCTAGCAGTACAATACTTAAAACAGTTATAAACTACGTAACTGGCAAGGAGGCAAGAAAGGGTGTTACATGCAACACTGAGATTTTTTTTTTCTTATAGGCAATGGATAGCCAACTAAGATTTTTAGGCTGTTGGAAATGCTGGAGATACAATGGAGCAAGTCCAGCATCAAGGTTTTTCTGACATGCTGGGGAAGAGATGAGAACTTTAAACAAGACACTGGCAGTGGGACTGTCAGAATGGCATTTAAGAAATACAAGTGGTATGACTTGGTGAAAATTCTCCTTTTACCTTTTCCACAAGAAAACTAACTACATATGAGAAAAATTAAACCTAGTACTGGGGGCTAAAATGGGAAAAGGCGATTAAACCCCAAGATCAGCCACTGCTCTTCCCTCAATTCTACTCACATCTAAACCTTTCTTCTTAATCCAGGCTCGAAGCCCATCCACATTCCAGGAACAGATCTTGAGCGTGGCTGATTTGCCACTGGGTGAGGTTTTCTGATCTGGGGGGTCCTCATACAGGGCTGCTCCCTCTCCCGCTGCCTCTTTTTCGGTTTTTTTTGCTCCCGTCTTACTCTTCTTGGCCTCTGGTTCTATAAAATAAGTAATACATAGTGATAAAAGTTGGCGGTATCCAACTTTGATCCGGAGTTAACGAGACCCACTGAGAGCCTGCAGTTGCCGCGACTTCTTCACAAACTGCAAGAATATGGAGTCGGTCTGTACTTCCCCTTCATCGCGGAGATTATAGCCATCCCCATCGCAGTCTCTAGGGAGAGGGGCCCATTTCATTCTCTTACCAGTTTTGGGCTCTTCCCCGTCTTCTGCCACCGCTCCCTTTTTCCCACGCTTCGGCATCACTGTAACGTACGCCTTTCTGCACCAGTTCCACGTCGCCCACCGAAGCAGTATTTTTACCGCGTTGCCTATACACGCAAAGAAGTCGTGAAACCAGCTAAGGCGGGGAAGACTCCTCCCTCGGGCGTCCCCGCACCAGGTCCCGCCTTTCAAACCACATTATCCCTGAATCTTTTCCCCGCCTCCGTGCACCCTCGGCCTTTCAGCCCCTCCACCTCAGGATTAGATCATTTATAGTCCCTTGTACCCTCCTCGCGAGATGTGCCCTCCAGCCAATCAAGGGACTCAATTTAGGGTCCTGATTTAGGCTTGCGGATCGGACGTGCAGAGAAGGCCCTGTAATGGGCAAAAGAACAGCAACCCTGTAACTGACCTGCTCGGGTCGCAGCCTGGCTCCTCCTTATCCCAGCACAAAGAAGGGAGCACGCTGTGCCCCCACGTGGGTAACTGGCATGGTCACGTGACCTGAGGTGCGCACCACACGGCTGAGGGATGCTGGTGATTGGCTTATTTGGTACCACGTGACCAAAAGCTCAGCCTTCCCGCCCTTCTCTGTGTCTTCAGGGCACTGAAGGACCCAACCCTCCATTCTCGGGCTGTTTATTGGTGCGCCAGATTCATGACTCATTCTGCCATCCTGACCGGAGATCCTAAAGCTGTGCAAGAGGAAACAAAATCAGTGGGGGCAGGCTGGCATGAACCCTGGGAGAGAAGCAGACAAATGGATAGGAATGTAAGGAGCAATTGCCGGCTCAGCGTCCCTGGCAGTTAAGAGACCAGGCCCTCGAAGGGGCCTTGATGAGTCGCCGTGACGACAGGGGCGGGGTCGGCGCGGAGCGCTCCCCAGGGAAGTTCCTTGGTGTCTGTCCCAGTACGCGCTGCTACTAGCAGTCGGGCTCGTCCTCCTCCGTGATCTGCCTCCCAAAGCGGACTGGTGAGGGCTCCACGACCCCAGTGGTAGCTAGGAGGCCTGCAGGCGTTTTCTCCCGGGCTCGGGCATGCCGGCGGTGCTGGGTTTTGAGGGCAGCGCTAATAAGATTGGCGTGGGAGTGGTGCGGGATGGCAAGGTGCTGGCGAACCCGCGGCGGACTTACGTCACGCCTCCGGGCACAGGTACGTGAGTAAGGAGTTTTATTTTTGCGGCGCGCTTCTCCGCATAGCATCACCTTACGTCTTCGTAAACGTTAGTGAACCAGGGCGTGGAGCGCAATGTCACCTTAGAGAGTTTTGATCCGACTCTTTGACAGTATTAACGTCACAAGGCTGTTGGATAGAAGAGTCACAGCCACTTGGACCAGGATCTTCTGAGTTCATTCAGCCTTTAGTGAGTGCCTTTCATGTGCTATTACGTCAGCTGGCTGCTGGATACAAAAGTAAATGTTCTGAACCTGCTGTGGAGGGGGACATGTAAAGAGAACTTTACACCACAGTATGGAAAATAGTATAATGTAGATGCAACCAAAATATTCTAGAATGAGGAGTGTAAAGACTCCCAGCTTAGGTGTTGGACAGGACTAGCTGGCTTTGTGATACTCAGAATTTGTTTTTGGACTTCTGTTCCTTATTTTTTTTTAATTGAAGTATAGTCAGTTAAAAACTACAACAGTTACAGTGTTGTGTCAGTTTCTGCTGTACAGCATAATTGTTGTCATACATACACATACATATATTCGTTTTCATATTTTTCATGATAGGTTATTACAAGATGTTGAATATGGTTCCTTGTGCTATACAGTACAAACTTGTTGTTTATCTATTTTTGTTCCTTATTCCTAAAAATGGGAAGGATAATACCTGTGTCACTGAGTCTTGGGAATTAAAGTACCAGACACATTATGACTTTTCATAAATGTTATTTGTAAGTAATTACGTTGTATCTTGCCTACCCTCCACCCAAACACCTGCATATATAGGGTAGGGCACCTGAAACCTTATGGACCTGAAAAGCCTCCCTAAACAGGTGATATTGTGACAGGTTACTCATTAGAAGTGTATGTGTATGTTAAACACTTCTGGCACCAAAAATACAAAGATAAATAAAATATCAAAGCCAATGCTTTGAGACGCTCGTGGTTAAAATGGGGAATCTATAGTTGTTGCATGTTAACATATAGTGTGTTAAGAACAGTGATGTGATCACACATAGGGTTTGTGGGGTCACAGAAGATCACCAAGAAGTATGAGGTTGGTATTACTTGAATTGAGTCCTGAAGGCTGCCTAGGAATTGGGTATGAAGTAGGGCATTTCTGAGAACTTTTCAGCCTAGCTGAAGAGGCTGGAAAGACTATACCTGAAAAAGAAGACAGGATGCATGAGGAAAGTGGAAGAGACTCTTCCTACCCTACTAAAACGTCTATTTTTGACTTCTACTTATCTTTCTATAGAAAACCCTATGATCTCTTACTTTTGTCCATCTCTTAGGATTCCTTCCAGGTGATACTGCCAGGCACCACCGATCGGTTATCCTGGACCTGCTGCAAGAGGCACTAACGGAAGCTGGATTAACCTCCCAGGATATTGACTGCATTGCATACACCAAAGGTATGGCTGGGAGAGAGCTCAACAGTGGAAGTATATACCTGGAGCCTGACTAGGTCAAAATGGCCTGCAGCTCCCTCTGCTACCACCACGACTTCCATCCCACTTCTCACATCCCCAGCTTCCCCCAGCTCTGTTTTTCCCAATCTCTATAGGATTCTGACTCCCACTTCTGTCCCCCTAGGGCCTGGCATGGGTGCTCCACTGGTTTCTGTGGCTGTGGTGGCCCGTACTGTGGCCCAGTTGTGGAATAAGCCATTGCTGGGTGTTAACCATTGTATAGGCCACATTGAGATGGGCCGTCTCATCACTGGAGCCACCAGCCCAACTGTGCTGTATGTCAGTGGAGGAAATACACAGGTATTTAGAGCACTTCACCATTCCTTCTTTTTTCATTGTTCCCTTAGGGATTTGGGGATTTTTTAATGACTGAAACAAACAGATCTAAAACCACAGGTTCTGGAAGAACCTTTTGTTCTTGCCGATCTTCTATCTCTCCTCAAATTTGACCTTGGCTGCCTGTACAGAGTGTTTAAGAGCAAGGTCTCTGAAGACATCCTTGCTGACAACAGTTTTGTCCAAAGCAAAGTACCTTGTGGGCATGAAGTGATGATAGTTATAAACTTTCACAAAAGACTTGATCTTTGACCTCATGCCGATTTTCTTCTTGCCTGTAGTAGCTGTCACTTTGCAGGGATAGTGATCAATACCAGCCACCAGAGCATGGCTTATAGGGTCGGTCTAAGATGCAGTCATCAGTGCTCTTCATGATGACTGGCCAGGAGCAACACTGCCTTCCCAGGTTTCCTGAACTTGCCCGTTTCTATAGCAACCACTCAGGTGGCTCCATCATCTCTTCTTAATTTCTAAGGAACTATTCCAGCCACTTTCATGTTCTGTCTGAGTGGCAGGAACTGCAAGAACAAAGCTGGACTCATCTGAACCTAAAACGTGATACACTAGAAAACCCACAACACAGTTGATAACATTGCATATTTGGGCAGGATGATTAGAATATTAGATGACTTTTATATATGTGGTTATAAAGATGAGGAATTTCCAGTTTAGAGAGGGAAAGAATAGTAATGATTGAAGTATTCAAAAGACATTTTCATTTTTATTATTTTGGAGCTTTTTTTTTTTCTGTGAACCTTAGCAATTTAAACTAAGAGGCACTATTCTGTTTGTTTCTTTACAATAACTTCCTGTTTTGTTTTAGTTACTGGTGGCAAATATGCAGAAGTTTTTACTCTAAGAGTGTGAAAATACAAATCATTTTTAAAATAAGAACCATGAGTGGTAGAAGATATTTTAAATTTATAGGTGAAGCCAGAGTTGTTTGGGATACCTTACAAGATCTTTTAAGGCTGGGATTAAGAACTCCAGCCTGCCTGTCCCACATCACAGCTGATGAAATTTTTGTGAGAAATAGTCATTGTCCTCAGCTTATGAAAGGGTTGTATTGTAAAACTTCACTTTGTGAAATAGTTATTAAAGATGAAGCAGGCATTCCTATGAAAATGATGTGGGAACTTTAACCAGTGGAGGGCAAGTAACTGGTTGAGGCCTGAAGGATGTCGTACGAGACTAGGGCCTTGGGGTGAGGAAAGTAGCAGTGGAAGCCTGCGAGAATTAATGGAGGTGAATGGTGATGGAGTTTTCTCTTCTTTTCCTCTTCCCTTTTGAAGCCTGCTTAAGTGTTATTAAAAAAAAAAAAAAAAGATTAGGTAGGGAGGAGTGGATAACAGAAATAGAAAGGCAGACTTTTTTCTTCCCAGCCTTTTGACAGTTGCATAAGATTTGCATCAGAGCAGAAGAAAATCCCCAGCTGCACCAGATGGGGACAGGGAAACACTCCCTGTCGCAAGCATGGGGCGTATTTGTCAGTGGGTGATAAATACTCTCTGTGCTAGAAATCGGTCACATAGGAAGAATAGACCTAAGTTGGTTGCCAGTACTGAGTTGGATAGGCCATTAGTCTACCCAATATGGAATTTCTGAGTTTTTTAAACTCTACCTCTTGTTTCCAAATACCAAATACCACCATCCTGGTAGTTCTGGAAGAACTCTGGTTCCCTGCCTCTGAGAAGGAAAGCCTGTTCGCTAGTCCACACTGTCTAGGCTGCTTTTAAAGGATATATCAGGAACCTCCAAGCTAGAAAAATGTATCCCAGATGACAATTTGCTTCTGCCCTGACTTAGACTACTTTCTGTAGATGAGGAATCTGCTCTGGGAATTCTTGGTATATATAGTCTTGTCAGATAAGAGGTATAAAAAGTACCCATTGAGGGTTTGGAAACGTACTTTTTCTCCATTGCCTATTGGAAGCGCTAGTGGCCATGGTGATGTTCTGCTGTGTTCTTCCCCAAAGCCAAATGCTCCTCTTTCAGACTTGAGGTTTCATGGACATCCTCATCACCCTTAGGTGATTGCGTATTCAGAACGTCGTTACCGCATCTTTGGGGAAACCATCGATATCGCTGTGGGTAATTGTCTGGATCGATTTGCTCGAGTGCTGAAGGTAAGCCACTGGGGCTACGGGGAACATAAGATGTGAATGAATTTCTGGGAAGCCACGGAAAAGGAGGGAGAAGGTAGTAAATTAGCATCCTGTGCTTCCTGGCTATCTGACTTCATCCTCTTTTGCCTTCTGCTAGATTTCCAATGACCCAAGTCCAGGCTACAACATTGAACAGATGGCAAAGCGGTAAGGGGACATAAGGTGGAAGGAGGCTGACTGGTGGGGCGCCATATGCATTAATGAGGTTTGGGAGGGCTTTGGAGGGTGAGCAGCCAGCTGGCCACGGGCTTAGTGCGTCATATACTCACTCCCACATAGAGGCAAGAAGCTAGTTGAGCTGCCATACACGGTAAAGGGGATGGACGTCTCATTCTCGGGGATCTTGTCTTTCATTGAGGTGAGTGTGGGAGAGGGGAGGAGATGGCCATTTCCGTGCTTTTTAATGAAGCCTATGTGTCTTGCTCACCATTGTGTTTCCTGCATGTAGCACTGTGCTGGCCCATTTTAGATGCTGAATAAATACATTCAGCAAGTATTTATTGAACGTCTCTGTGTGCCAGGTACTGTTTAAGGCAACAGTGATACAAGATGGAAAAAACAAAAATCCCTGCCTACTTGGAGCTTGCATTCTCATTGGGGGCAGACATACAGAAACTGGAAAAAGAAGAAGGAAAAAAGAAGGGGGGGGAAATAATAAAGTGAAAAAGGGTCATATGATGACAAGTCCTATGGAGAAGAATTAACCAGGGTAGAGGGGTGCCAAGGCAGGCAGTCATAATTATTGAATCCTGAAGGAACGCTGCTAGTTGTATAGCTCAGTGCCTGCGAAGGGCAAGGTGTCATAGGGCGTGTGCTGGGAAGTTGAGTTGTGGTGAAATGCAGTGATCTTCCAAGTGCACTGATTTTTTGCTCTCATGTCACCCCCAGAACCACTACTCATTATTTTATCTGTTTTCCCCTTTAACTATAGGATGTAGCCCAGCGGATGCTGGCCACAGGCGAGTGTACTCCTGAGGATCTCTGTTTCTCCCTGCAGGTAGTGGGGTGAAAAAAGTGGGTCGGAAGGTTGGAGCTGGAGGAGCATTTGTGTGGTAGACAGAACCAAGCTGGGATCGCCTCTGACGTTTTTGCCTTGTCTGCCCCACAGGAAACTGTGTTTGCGATGCTGGTGGAGATCACAGAGCGAGCCATGGCACACTGCGGCTCCCACGAGGCCCTTATTGTGGGAGGTGTAGGGTGTATGTATCATTGAACTAGGCTCCTCTTCCCTGATTTGGGCCACATGCGTCTTCCTCCTGATACTCGAAATCTCTGAGACTTTGGGGAAATTACTAATTTTATTTCTTGTCCTATGCTTCCCAATACCTGCCTCCTAGAACCCCTACTTTCTAAGGCAGTGCACATGAGGTGTACAACTAGACTGGAGAAACGGCTAAAACTAAGATAACCCTACCCCTCCCTCTTCGTAGGTAACATGCGGTTACAGGAAATGATGGAGACAATGTGCCAGGAACGCGGAGCCCGGCTTTTTGCCACAGATGAGAGGTAAAGGCCCTTTCCCGTTCTTAACTTCTCCCCTCCCCCCCAACTGCTGTGATTTTCTACCCTTAGATCACAAACTTCATATCTCTTTTCCTTTCCAGATTCTGCATTGACAACGGAGCCATGATAGCCCAGGCTGGCTGGGAGATGTTTCAGGCTGGACACCGGACCCCTCTCAGTGAATCTGGGGTCACACAGAGGTGAGTACCCCTGGGAGGAGGTGGGTAGGATTCTGTGGGAGGTAGGCAAAAGTCATCAGCAGGGAGGAGGATCCAGAGGGCTGAAGGCAGAGAAGGATGGAAGGTTCTAAGGCATAACCGTCCACCAAGTTTTTCCTGTTTTTTCACAGGTATCGGACAGATGAAGTAGAAGTGACCTGGAGGGACTAACAAGGTTAATAGGATCGGAGTAGGCAGAGCCCTACGTGGAGCCCCTGGGGCCCTGCGCCTTAATCTTTGTGCTGACACAAGAGTCCTGACAAGGCTGTGGATTCCCCTCTCCCATCATTTGAACCTCAAGATGACTCAACAATAAAACATTTTTTTGGTTTTGTATGTTGGTAATCAGCTCGTGTTCAGGAGTGATACACAGCTGGCACTGGATAAATCGTTGCTGACGGGGTGATGGGTAAGGAGGCAGGGGCCGGAGCAGCCCTTGGCTGACTGCAGGTGGCTGCTCTGGAGCTGAGATGGAGGGGATAGCTTAGATATTCTAACCTCCCCTTAACAGTGCTGTTATCATTAATACTATTTTTAGCATCAGATCTTGTGCTAATTGCTTTATATTGATCTCATTTAAATTCTTTGAAGTATGAGTACTCAGGATCTCCCTGAAAATAGACTAAAGCCAAGTGTAATTTCATACTAACTGTTAACTCAAAGGTAAAACTGTCTCCCTTCCATATACTGAGTCCTACATACACTTCCCTTGGCAGATTTGGGGGGGGCCCCAAGTACACATCTCTCCTCACCACAGCCACCAGCACTAATCTTGTCATGTCCTTTGTCTTGTTTATGTCAGTCACCACCAGAAGTCCCGAACTATCAAGTCACTGCTCATCTTTCAAAGTCTAGTAACCATTACTCTCCACTCCCTTTTTTGTCCCCAGCTACCTCCGTCTTTTAACTCCTGAAATTCTTTTTGTGATCTCTGACGTTAATAGCTAGTCATTAGCAAAATTTCCCTATATCCTCAGCCTCCTCTCTGAATGTTCCGTTTCCACATTTCCGCTCTAAGCCCTGGTTCCTCCTGAGGTCTCTGCTCCTCCCACCAGCTCTGGTGCTGGTGTTTTCTCTCACACCCGTTGTATCACTGAGCTGGAGCCAGTGCAGGTCTCCCCATTTTTCCTCCTACTATTTCTAGATTACTCTCTGTCATCCCTAACATACCTCAACTTTGAAAGACAAGTCAATAACTCATAAATCTTGGTGATTTAAATATCCAGGTAGATTATCTTCCTAACACTCTGGTCTCAGTTCTTTGCTCCTCTCTCCCCACTTCAGCTACTCATTCCCCTGCTTATATTCTAGACCTACAGCTGCTCCAGATCTCAATCTCAAACATCCCACTCCCACTATTCCTATTTTTCCAGTTCATTTCACATGTCTTCATTTCCCTCCTCCAGCTGAATCCCAGTCATGAGGACTTCGCTGCAGGCACCTCATCTCCCTCCCTTGCCTCTTGGTTTTGGTCATGCTCAGCCCTTCACCCACTTTACGTCTAGACCCGTGCAGCTGAAAGGGCCGGGAAAAACAGGCTGACTTGCCTTACTTTAAATTCATCACTGTGAAACTTAAGTAGGTCCTTTATGCTACTAGCAACATTCCCTACTTCTGTCACTTGGCCTCTTTTCTGATCACTGTTTTATTCCTTCTAATCCCTCAAATCTCCAGCATCTCCTCTCATCCTCACTTTTACTTTGGTAGAGAATGGAAACAAATCAGAAGAGGTTCACAGGCTCCTACCACTACGTCTATATCCAACATTGATCCCCGTACACTCTGTTTTCCCTCCTGTTACTGCATAACAGTGGTTCTCAACTGGGACTGATTTTGCTCCCAGAGGACATTTGGTTGTCACACCTGGGAGGTGGTGCTACTGGGTAGAGGCCAGGCATGCTGCAAAATATCCTACAATGCACAGAACAGCCTCCCACAACAGAATTACCTGGGTTTAAATGTCACTGGTGTCAAGGTTGAGAAACGCTGCTCTAAACAGGGCTCTCCAAATCCTGGTGTAGCCAGTCCCATCCTCCAGCTTTCAAGGACATCTCTCAACAGCTCTCCCTCCTTTTCTGTAGAATTAGTATTCCCCTTTCTCTCCTGGGGAGTCCTCTCAGCACACAAACATGCTACCATTTTCCTCATCTTACAAATACGTAAACCTCTCTTGGCCCCATTCCTTCTAATTTTCCTGCTCTATTTTTAAAATATTATTTTTTAGGGTGGTAGTGGTAGATTGTGTGCTTGTCATGCACAAGGTCCCAGGCTCAATCCCCAGTACCTCCTTTAAAAATAAATGAATAAACCTAATTACCTCCCCTTCCAAAAAATAAACAAATTATTTAAAAATAAATAAATAATCAATCTGAATAAAGAGACAAGCTGGAAGAAATTTTAAAAAATAAATATTTTGTATTGTTGAGTTACAGTGTTATACTAGTTTCAGGTGTACAACATAATGATTCAGTGTCTTTGTAGGTCATCTTCCATTTAAAGTTATGATAAATACTCGCTGTATTCCCTGTGCTGTATAATATATCCTTACAGTTTATTTTTTCTGCTGTATTTTATAGCAAAATACCTTAAAAGAGTCGTTTCCACTTCCTCTCCACCAATTCTCTATTTCTTATTACTTTTTTTTATTGTTTTTGGGGAGAGGTAATTAGGCTTCTTTATTTTAGTGGAGGTACTGGGGATTGAACCCAGGACCTTGTGCAGGCTAAGCACACACTCTACCACTGAGCTATACCCTCCCACCTTCCACCAATTTCCTATTAACTCCATGGCACCAACACTGTTCTTACCACCATCACCAGGATTTTGCACAAACCTGAATCTAATGGCATCTTCTGCTTCATCTTGCATAAGCTGTCAGCAGCATTGGACACCCCATCTTTGAAATACTGTCTTTACTTGGCTTTAGGACACATTCTCTGGTTTGCCTCTCAGCTTACCAACTGCTATTCCTGTTTCCTTTGCTAGTTTCTCCTCATCTCCATAACTCTAAACTCTAAAGTTCGGTCCTTGGACTGCTTTTCTGCTTATACACACCTGCTGTGATTTCATCCAGTCTTACACATTAAAACCATGTCAGTGTGGGTAACTCTCCATTTTTAGCTCCCATCTGGACTTCTGTCCTGCATATCTAGCTGCCCATTGGCATCTCGACTAGGGTGCTTAATAGGCGTTTCAAATTTAACATACACAAAATTGAACTTATGTTATCCCCAGCTTCCTGCTGCAGTCTTTCCTGTTTCAGTGAATGACAGCTCCATCCTAGCAGTTCATGTCAGAGCGCCGTGATATTATCTTTGATACCTCTTTTTCACCTCCTCCGATCACACTGACTTTACCTTCAGAATATATCCAGAATTCCATTTCTCACTTCCACTGCTGCCACCCTTGCCCAAGACAGACTTGTCTATCTCAGGATTATTGCAGTAGCTGGGCTGTTCCCACAACTGCCCACCCTTGCCCAAGACAGACTTGTCTATCTCAGGATTATTGCAGTAGCTGGGCTGTTCCCACAACTGCCCACTTATAGTCAGCTCTCAACACGGCAGCTGGAGTGAATAGTGTTAACATGGAGGCCAGATTATGTCACTCTTCTCAAGTCCCTCTGTGCTTTTCTACATTAGTGAAAACCAGAGGCCTTTAAAAGCCCTAGACATGACCTGGCTGGAGATGCTGTCCAGGGGCCTGACATCTCTCATTGCCTTCATTCACGGAAATCAGCAGGACACACTGACCCTATACTGTTAGTTTAAGAGACTCAGGAGAGACAGAGCTAGGAGGAAGAATCCTCAACTCAGGTCTCAAGAAGCCATGATTTTAGTCTCTTGGCTCCACCAACTTTGGGTAGCACAAAAATCCACCAGGACTGGACACTGGTTAGGGGGGTCAGTTAGCACCAGGCACTGTGACTTATGAAGAAGGCAGTGATAATGTTCAGAGCAGTGATCAGCTCAAGGTGTCACTCCCATTGCCTCCTCTCTGTTCTTCCCATCCCACATTCCCAGAGATCTCACCACTCAACTTGTGGCTTTTCATCCTGTTCAGACCCCTAAGCTCCCTCAACTCTTTCCTCTGTGCTCCCCACTCCCTCCTGCCTCTTTAGAGGAGTAGGGGGCTATCATTCTCCTTCTTCCCTAGGACCCTCCCCCAGTGATTGCCATATTTTCTTATAGTGGCTGTGCCAGCATAAACTGTACTCAGTCATGGCTTTTTTGAGAAAGACTATGGCAAGAACCATGAACCTCTGTGAGGCTACCTGTTCGCCTTCCTCATTGCTGTACGCTCCTCATTATTGGTGAGTTCTCCTCCACCCCCAACACCAGGCTTCATTAATCACCTTTCCCCTCATGCTCTCCACTGCCCAACCTCAGGCTTTTAGGGCCTGACCCTAAAGACTCTTTTCTAGCTCTCTAGTACTGAAAGTGGATGAAAACACCTGCTAACTTGGTAGGGGTGGTGTGTGAGGAAGGTGGAGTGGGGAGTTGGAACTTTCATCTCTCCCAGAGTTGATCTGAACACCATTGCCCCCATCATCTCCAACTTTTCCCTCTGCTCCTATGCCCTCGTCAACTTGGGCTATTTCCACATCTCCCTCACAGCCGATTGTCTGGTTAGTATGAGCAGGTTTGAGAGAAGGCCTGGGGCTAGGAGGACCTGGGAGAGTTGGGGGAGCATCCTTGAGATGCAGGGGTGGGTGGTGCTGAGGCTTGGACAGGGATGGGCTGCATTTGCTCTCCTCTGTAGGCTGGTGCCCTTCCTTCCACTGACACAGTCCCTGGCTCTCCCTCCCGGGCTCTCTGCTCTGCCTGCTCATCATGTTCCTCCTCACCTGGTGGGCAGCACTCATCGCTGTATTGCTCATCCTTCTGCTGCTGCCCTATACATCCTTCAGGAAACCTGGTGAGCAAGTGGGCAGATAGGTGAGGGAGTGAGATACAGCAAGAGGCTGACCCCCATACAAAAAACTAGTGGTCTCTGGATTGGATCTTGCCTGCAGATGAGTTTTGTTTGTATTGCACCTGTAATTTTCAAAATTAACTGCCAACATTTAACATGTATCTGGTAGTCCAGGGTCTCCATCCCACATTACACACTAGGCTAAAGCCAAGGAGCTGCTGTCCCACGAGACTGGGCAGGCACTCTCCAGTCTGCCACAGTTCCCACCTGGTCCACTTTATTCTTGATCGACCAATTCTTGCAGGTTTTTGAGTTTTCAATCTCTGCTCTATGCATAAGAGGAAACCAGCTTCCTAAAATCTGGGAAGGGCAGCAGAGGAAAAGGAAGGGAACAGAATTCCAGTAGGACAGAGAGAATAGGGTGCCCTGAGGAGGCGGTGCTGTCTAGCAGGACAGATGCCACAGGAACCAGGCTGTGCTGTGAGGTAGAGAAGCCTCTCTAATACCCTTGGTTCCTCTCTAAAATGCCCAATGGGTGGGGAAGAGCTGTGGGATGGGGCTCTCTCCCCATGAAGCAGTGTATGTCCTAAATCTCATTTCCAAGCCCCTGTGTGATTTGAGATGTTTCAGAAAATAGGACTGACAGAAAATAGGTGTGCAGAGTGGGGGCTGCCTAGGGCCAAAGTGCCAGTATGGCTGGCATTTCAGCAGCTGTCAAGACCAAAGGTCCTGCCTCTATGGGCTTACTAACTGCTACCCATGAGTGAACCAGAGGGGAAGATTAGAGATAAATCTTACCTGGCCCATTGCCCAGCATAAAGTAGGTGCTCAAAAATCAGCAATGACTTAAGTGGACTCATGTAGGTGGGGTGATACCTTTGAAGGTGGGATAAAATTTAATACGCCTTGCAACTTCTGGGAAAGCTAGGTGAAGAGATGAGTGAATGCACTGCTTCCGGAAAGCACTGATTTCTGCCTCTGCCTGCCCTTCTCCTCAAGCCATGAGCATGGTCTCCCCTGATGTCTGATGAGATCTTCAGTGTCACTCTGTCCTCTGCCCTTTCCTGCTTTGTTTCTGCCCCCCATATATTCCAGGTTAGTTGATATCTTACCAAGAGGCTTGGGGGAGAAAGGAGAGAATGTTATCTAGACAGGGCCATGCCAAGAGTATACTTTTTTGGTTGGGGAGGGTATAGCTCATTGGTAAGGTATGTGCTTAGCATGCACAAGGTCCTGGATTCAATCTCTAGTAACTTCCTTAAAAATAAATAAATAAATAAACCTAATTACCACCCCCATCTCAATTCCCTCCTCTGCCTGCCTGCCTTGGACTCCCACTCCATGCCTGCTAGCTCCATGCCCAGAAGGACAGTCACGGTCACCATGCCCACTACTCGAAACTCACTTTCAGGACCCATGTTCAGTAGCTGCACCCCATGCTCTGGAAGGGCAGCACAGAGAGACAGAAGGTCACAGAGACTTTGCTGGCTGATTTGATGCCTCTGTGTGATTCTTAAAATGACTCACCCAGGCTGGAGTCTCAGAAGTGCAGGCTGGGTGGTCAGGTGACTTGAGAAAAGGGCGCACCAAGAGAGGGGATAGGCATTACCTGGAACAGGTCCAAAAGGGTCTCCACAAAGCCCAACACATGCACAGCCATGGCTACTGCACTGACGAAAGCAAAGATGATTCCAATGGAACTGCCAGGTTCCAGTTCTGTGTGAGATGAACAAGTAGGTGCCATCTTAAAGAAGGGAAAAGAGAAGTCAGTCTGTGGTCTTAGCAATGCCCGCAGGGCAGGAGCCCCTGAGAGATCAGGGGATCACAACAGATTCACCAGTCTTGACCTTGCCATTGGTAGAGATGCCTGAGACAGACAGGTTGGATACAGTAGTGACTGCAGCCAAGAACAGGATAAAGAGGCATGTGAACCCTAGAGTGGGTGGGAATGGGGCTCCTTTAATTCACTCAGGCCATGCCCAAAGCCGTTCCTACTGCCCAGCAGAACCCTGAGCTCGTACCTATGCCTGCCTGAGCAGTGATCCAAGCCAGCCGCAGATAGAGGATGACACCCCGTATGTCCAGCATGCAGTGGATCTGGGGGAGCAGGATAGAGAGGGAGGAGCCAAAGTCACCCTCAGCCGTCTCCTCTCGCCCTCAGAGGTACCCTTGAGAACTCTTCTTGGAAGTGAAGTTCTCTTTCCCTGCTTTGATCCCCAGCCTTTGGGAACCCTGAGCGCCAATCCATTACCATGACTTCCATGACACAGCCAAAGCATACAGGGACCTTGCCAGGCCTGGCCCCCAAGTCATCTGGATCATCTTCTTGGGGGTGTGGTTCTGCTCGGGTCTCCTCAGCAGAGGTAGAAGCCACACTGTCCCCTGGCTGAGACAGCACAGATGCAGCTGAGATGCCAAGACCCCTCCCCAGCCAGCATGTCAGCAGCAAGAAGGACAACTGATAGACCTGGAGGGGCTACGGGGGGAGGTCAGTGCCAGGGCTTTTAATGGAGGGTGGATGATGGCCCAGAAGAGCAGATTTCATCCAACCTTCAGAGGTACACTGTGGGGCATGGGTCACACCATGGCAGAGCCGAGCAGAGCCTCCAGAGATGGAGCTGTCCCAGGACTATGGAGTTGGCAAAGAGCTCAGAGCAGGGTCCATTGTCCTTGTCCTTGTCAGCTGGGGGAGGGCAGAGGCCAATCTGGGGTTTGTCTCTGCTGGATAGAGGTTTCTCCTCTTCCTGGTGGGAGCCCAAGGGGTTGACTGTCTTGTCTCACCCCAGTGAGGCTGTAAGAGGATCTGAAATGCCTGAATTCAGGGAAAGGGTGCAGAAGCTGGTCACTGTTGGCCATTTAGCCAGTCAGGACAACCACAGGCTGCTTCTCTGTCAACCCATTTGTGGGAGTACAGCCTGAGGGCTGGGGATGCTACACTGGGTACCTGCAAGCTGAGAGCAGGGACAGCGCTGAAAGCTGGAAGGGATGCTCTGCTGAGAAATCCACCCTACCCGGCCCTCCTCCGTGAGAACGCCACCCCGCTCACATGAGTGTAAGGAACAATCCAGCTTTGCTCCTGGTTTGTCACCATGTAAGGCAATCTATTCTGCCTGGACCAGCCTTTTTACAGGCCAGGAAATCCACCCCCAGCAACCCTTGGCCTGGGAGAAGGGAGGGAAGGGGCATCACTTCCCTGTTCTCTAATTTCCTTTCCCATGCTAATACCTGGAACTACAGGGAAGCGTGATTGTCCAGATATAGGAGGGTCTGAGGATGAGAAAGGCCGCCCTCCCAGGCAGAGGGAGTGGCTGTTGGTACCCTGCTTCAAACAGTGAGAATGCTTGCACACTGCTCTGCCATCCAGTCCAGGACTCTTGTTCCCACAGCAGCAGGGATCATGCCATGTTCCACTATCTGATCCTCATCCCAGCAACCAATGGGATTAGACCCCTCCAGATTCTTAAGACTCGGGGTTGGGTTTGCTTTCTCACCATTGATTCCACCTTGGGACAGGGAGGAAACCCCTCTCTGGGTTGGGTCGCTCATGGCCCTTAGCCCTGACTCCTGGCCCTTCTTCTACCCCACCCCTCTGCTTTCAGCGGACCAGATGGGATATGTTTGAATTTTAGTATTGGTCTCTCCAGGGTGCCAGCTTTATTGTAGGCAGAAAAATCAATAGTCAAAAGCCAGGATTGTCCCAAAACACACACTTCACTCTTTCTTCCCGCTTTTCCACGGGACTCTCACAATCCAGACTCTCTTCATCCACCCTCTCCAGCCTAGTCCAGTGAACGCAGACTTTATGGCCCGGCTCACTCCACCAGATTCGCATTCTCCTTGGCTTTTGAATTTGCCTCACTCAGCACCAGGACATGACCTACAAGTGGGAGGGGGAGGAGGTCATCTCGGGACGAGGCCAGGGGATTGGGTGTCGCAGTTTGGGCACCCAGAGCCCAGCCCCTAACCCGCCAGCGCTGGCTATAATTAGCCGGTGCAGGCACTGACGCGGGATGCGGGGGCGATTACCTCAGCCACGCTGTCTGAAGTAGAGCAGGCTCAAGTAAGAGGGCAAGTGGACCGCTGGTGTCTTGGGAGGGTGACCACTGGGATGGGGACAAGAAGGACGGGGTACAGTCCCGGGTACTGAGTCTCCACACACACACTTCTTGGCGTGCCTTGCTGCACCTCGTCAACCTTTTAGTTGCGCGGTGTAGCCTGGACGCTCGAGCCTTGGGATGGGGGAGGGGACTGAAGTAGGATGAGGAACTAACACGTTGCCCGTCCAGAGGCAAGGCTTCCTCTGACCTCTCTGGGTCCAGTTCTTACTCCCTCTTCTCTCTCCTCCAGCGAACCTGGGCCATGAGCGTCTCGGATTCAACAGATCGTCGTCGGTCAGACCCAGAGCAAGCCTCTCTTCCGGTCCAGAAAGACAGCCTTGACCACACTTTGCCAGCCCGGAGAACCCCTTCCTGGCCTCCGTCCGCGGACGAGGATCCCAGTTTGCCCCCCTTTCCTCTGGGAGAGCCTGGCACCAGGCCAATGGTCCCAGGGAGCCTTGCCTCTCCATCTTTGCCCCTAGAGGAAGAAGAGGAGGAGGAAGAGGATGAGGACGGAGAAGACACAGCAGAGCCCGAGGAACTGCGCAGCGAGGAGCATCCCAGCCAGTTTTTCTCGGAGGCACAGCGGCTGCGGGAGCAGAGATTGTTGCTGGATGAAGAGGTGTCAGTAGGGGGGCGAGTATACGGGGTGCATCGGGTTATCCTGGCCGCAGTCAGCAGCCTCTTCAGAGACAGGCTGCTGAACGGCAGAGGTCAGCAACCCCTCTTCAGCCTGGAAGTAACGCCCGGGGCCTGGGAGGCCGTGCTGACCTTTGCCTATGAGGGAGTGCTGGGACCCGCCCCGCGGGGGGATGTGCTGGTCGCGGCTGAAGCCCTGGGAGCGCCCCGGGTAAAGGCCGCAGCCCAGTGGGGACGCGAGGGAGCAGGAAGCGCCGGGGAAGATGAAAAGCACCCCAGCCAGGCAGAGGAGCTGAGAGAGAACTTGCGCAGCATCGAGCTCCTGTACCAAGAGGGCATCGGATGTGACCTGGAGCTGGAGGCAGGCAGCTGCCGGCTGCAGGGTGAGGGCCTGTGGGGCATTGCGTTAAAGCAGGTGCATATGCTACCCGGAATGGCGTGTGCAAGCAGCAGGTGGTTCGATCCCTACCATAGTGATTTTGATCCTTGCTGCAGTCAGAATTTCCCTGGGGTGGCCTTTGGTGCCTCTCCAGACCCACTGAGAATGGGCATGCGCATTTGAGTTGTTTTCCTAGGCGCACTGATAGATTTACGATGTGTCTTTTCCTGTGCCCGGTAACAAGAAATTTCCAGCCAACTGGCTGGAGCTGAGGGTATAGTCCATGCCAGTAGAACAAGCAGGAGGTGATTGACTCAAGCAGAGATTAACCTAAGGCCCTTCTTGGCATCTTCTATTTAGGGCACAGGAAAAGCCGGAAGAACAGAGTGGAAAAATTTAGTGTGTCCTTTCCCCTCAGTGTGTTTGACACCATGGTAAATGTAGATTCTACAGCAAATGAACAAGGTCTGATACCGTTTTGCTACCAGGTCATGACACTTTGAAGTTAACTCTGCTCATCACCAGGAAAGCAAAAGAGGGTTGAATAACTTCAGTATTATTCAGATTCTACTAACACTTAGTGAGGTAATGGGTACCAGGGATTTTTACACATGCCATCTCTTTTCATTCTCATTGAAAACTAGTGAGGCAGATACTGTTGTCCCTAGGTGCAGATAATATTAAACTCAGAGATGTTAACTGGTGACAACCAGGATACAAGCCCACATCCACTTGCCTAGTCTGCTTTCACCAGGCCATGCATTGCCTTCTATGCAGCCAAATCTATGACACATAGGACTTGGCAAATGGAGTCAGAGTGGAGACACGTGAAAGTTTAAAATCAAAAGGGGTTAGTTTAGATATGATCCAGTTCAGATCTTACACTTTATTGATAAAGAAGTCAGACTTTAAGATATGTCCAAAGTCGCATGGCTACTGCTTGGTAAGAGGAATTACTGGGACCCAAAGTGCTTCTGGGACTCCCAGAAGGAAAAGCATCCTATTTTAGTCAGCTTGGGCTGCTATAACAAAAATACCATACACTGGGTGGTTTAACAACAGAAATTGACTTCTCATAGTTCTGGAGGCTGAAAGTCCAGGACCAGGATGCCAGCATGGTCATGTTTTGGTTAGGGTCCTCTTTCTGATTTGTAGATGACCCCCTCACTGGATCCTCTCCTGGTGAAGAGAGAGAAATCATCTCTCTTGTCTCTTCTTATAACAGATTGCTAAAGTGTTGGTTATCATTTCCTATTGCACTAGATGGAGGGGGAATTTCAAATTTCATAGTTATAAAATTCTCCCTAGGGCTCGGAACTTAAACATACTTATATCACTGCTTTCACTTTCTTAAGAAATAGTCCAACTTAATGGTGGGAATGTGTCTCTAGCAAATAATGATGAGTAAGAAGGGGCATGAAATACAAGTGGCTGTGAGTCCTTTGACAGTTGGCTCTGAGTGTGGTTCTGGTGTAGACCACAGTTTGGCCTGTGGTCTTGGGTGGTTGGCCCAAAGTTGGGGTTGGGAGGTTGGGAGAGTGCCTAGTAGTTCGCAACACTGTAGATCCCTCTCTGCTTCTCCCTCTTGCAGTGCACCGAGCGGCCCTCGCCTGTGGCAGTGAGTTCTTTGGGGCCATGCTCCTGAGTGGGATGAGGGAATCCCAGGGCACAGAGGTGTCTCTGCACACCATCTCTGCCCAGGACCTGCGACTCCTCGTGTCTTATGCCTACTCCGGGGTTGTGCGGGCAAGGTGGCCAGGACTGCTGAGAGCCGCCCAGGCTGCTCTGCAGTACCAGAGCTCTTCCTGCCTGGCCCTGTGCCAGAGAGCCTTGGCACGAGGCCTCAGCCCTGCCCGTTGCCTGACCCTGATCCCCATGGCTGAAGCCCCTGGGTTTGAGACGCTCTGGAGCAAAGCGCACCACTACCTCCTCACCCACCTGCCCGCTGTGGCTTTGTGTTCCACTTTCCCTTCTTTACCGGCTGCCTGCCTGGCTGAGCTCCTGGACAGCGATGAGCTACATTTGCAGGAGGAGTTCGAGGCCTTTGTGGCTGCACGGTGTTGGCTAGCTGCCAACCCTGAGATCCAGGAGTCAGATGCCAAGGCCCTACTTCGATGTATCCGCTTTGGCCGCATGTCTACCAGGGAGCTACGGAGGGTACGGGCGGCTGGACTGCCTCCACCCCTGTCCCCGGACTTGCTCTATCAGCTGATGGTGGAGGCTGAGGTTCCAGGACAAGAGAGACGGAGGGAACCTGACCAGGCCCTGGTAGTGATTGGCGGGGATGGGCTCAGATCAGACATGGCCGTGAGACAGCCGTCCCGAGGAGTGTGGTGGGCCCGGGCCTTTCGCTGCGGCACAGGACTGGTTCGCACTGTGGACTGGGGGCGGCTGCCTGCCCTACCTGCCCCAGGGCGCTTCCGGCATGGGGCTGTCAGCCTAGCAGGAAGTGAACTCTACGTGTGTGGGGGACAGGATTTCTACACTAACTCTAACACCCTGGCTTCGACTCTCAGGTACGGGCCCCTGAGGATGGCAGGTCCCAAGGTGGGCAGCCGAGGGAGGTTGGTGGCCCAGCCAACTGCAGGCTCCCAGGGTCACTATTCCCATCTCTTGACCCCCTGCGTCCAGGTGGGACCCCAGTCAAGAGGATTGGGAGGAGGTGGCACCTTTGTGCCAGGCTCGGAGCCTTTTCCCCTTGGTGGAACTGGATGGACTGCTTTATGCCCTGGGCGGACAAGACAATGGTGTTGCCCTCAACTCTGTGGAGACTTACAACCCC